TGATACTGGGGCAAAAGGGAGAGGGGTCAGAAAAGGTCTCTGCTCTTACTCTACACACCAACCTTGTCTCGTCTTATAACTTCCGAGCTAATAAATTACTACCTATGTGTCTGTATTCCAGGTATATATTGGGCAGCTCACAGTTCCACTTAGCTGTCTCACAGGTACCTCAGATACTACATCTTCCACATGATTAACTCAGCAACTTTCACCCAAACCAGCTTCTCCTGAATGTTTCCATCTCTGTAGGTAGGACTATCACCATCCACCTGGATGTGGAAACCTAGACGTCACCCCTGATCTTTACATCCTTTAGATCTGTCTGTTTTTTCCCATTCCTACTGCCAGTATCATCTCTTGCCTCCTAATTAGACTCCCTAGCTCCAATCTCATTCCCCTCCAAATCATTTTACACATTATACCAGAGTAGCTTTTATAAGTAGTGATTTGGATAATGTATCCCCCAGTTTAAAGTTGAGATTTCTGGCCTCAAGATTTCAGGCTTGTCACAATAAGGCCTTCGCTCATCTCCTCAGCTTCACCTCCCATCACTCTCCCCCTTGCATTTGGTCAATTTCTTATATCAAACTTCTTTCAGTTTTTCAAAGATGCTAGGCTCTACTCAAACCTCTGGGCTATTACCCACACTGCTGCTTCTGCTTCAATAGTCATTTCTCCTCTTTTCCCTTAGCCAGGTCTCATCTAATCCTTCTGGTCTCAGCTGAGCTGTAACTTTCTTCAGGAACTGTTCCTTGATACCTGGACCAGCTTAGATTGCCCTTTGAGGTATTATTGTAGCACCCAAAACTTGCCTTGCCAACCTACTCAGCAGTTGTCATTGTAAGTAGTTGTGTGCCCATATTTCCTTCCCAACTATGAGCTTCTTGAGGGTGTTGCCCCTATCATCTTCACTGCTGAATCCCCCGGTACCCAAGACAGTGCCCTCCATACTCATATATATTTGTTGAATGAAACAATAAAAGGATGAAGGTCTTGGAGTGCTTATCAGAAGCCAAGCTAAGTGATCAGTTATGCAGACTGAGCAAATACAGCAAGGGATAGGGGAAATGTGCAGCTCAGGGCCACTCAGAAGCCCACACTGTTAAGAATTGAATTGTGTCCTCTTCCCAAAAAGATATGTTGAAGTCTTGACCCCTGTGCCTGTGAATGTGACCTGTCTGGAAATAGGGTTTTTCTTTTGTTATGTTAATAAGGTCTTACTGGAGTAGAGTGGGTCCTAAACCTAATCCCTTCTAAGTAGTGTCTTATAAACAGGGAAAACAGACACAGAGAGACAAACACAGGAGGAAGAGACGATGTGTGAATCCATCTGCAGGCTAAGGAATGCCAGAAAACACCAGGGGCTGCCAGGAGCTGAGAGAATTTGGACTTCTAGCTTCCAAAACTGAGAGTCGATAAATTTCCGGGTCTTTTAAGCTGCCCACTTGCAATATTTTCGTTACTACATCACTAGATAACTAACACACACTAAACCCAGCCTATGACATTAAGACGACTTCTAGGTTCTGCCAGTGGGAAGACCCGAGTTTTGCACCCAAGCTCAAATCCTGCCTTGACTACTTACTAGTGGGGCAATCCTGGCAACTACTTACAGGGCTACTGTGGGAACTCACTAAGATAATTTATGTAAAGTATGTGGCATACCAAAAACCAAACCAAACCCCTTGCTGTATTTTGATGTTGTTGTTGTTATGTGCTGTCCAGTCGGTTCCAACTCATAGTGACCCTATAGAACAGAGTAGAACTGCCCCATAGAGTTTCCAAGGAGCAGCTGGTGGATTCGAACTGCCAACCTTTTGGTTAGCAGCCCAGCTCTTAAACATTGCACCACGAGGGCTCCATATTTTAATATATTTTGATGTAGCCCTTGTGATATAGTCATATGTCAGTCATGTCATGGCCAACTTTACCAAGCAAAATGCTTCTGCTGTATAATGATAATAATAAATAAAATTTTTAAGCCCTTTCCCCTTATTTGACATTTTTCCAAGTGCTGTAGAAGAATCTCCTTAGTCCTCCTAAGAACCCTATGGGGAGTTTCTATTATTCTTCTCACTTTATGAGAAAACCAAGGCATAGACAGGTTGACTAACTTGCTCAAAGTCACACAGCTAATAAGTGACTGAGCAGGATACAGAGTTTGGCCATCTTGGTGATTACAAGGCTCAACCTCTCATTTGTTTCAGATATTTTTATTTGAACCTTATTTCTTCCCCGTTAAAGAGTAAGGCGTTTACATTTGATTCCACCTACCATGTGTGTGGCTCAGTGGTTAAGAGCTTGGCTGCTAACCAAAAGGTTAGCAGTTTGAATCCACCAGCCACTCCTTGGAAACTCTACGGGGCAGTTCTACTCTGTTCTATAGGGTTGCTATGAGTCAGAATTGACTCAAGGGCAGTGGGTTTGTTTGTCTCTTTGGTGAGCAAGACTAAGTATTGTGCAAAATTAAATTAACAAGTATTTATCACTGAAGATGGCTTCCTAGAAGAGTGCCATAACTTCCAGACATTCCTGGACGTGCCATCTTTGTGAGGGGATAAAACTTAAATGAGGCAAGGAGTAGCTAATAAAGAGACAAACCAGAAACTTCCCAGGTAGCTGCTTTTTATCCTTCTCCTCTGAGTGCAGATTGTGCTGCAGTAGACAGTGACTAAAGAGCTGGGCTTCGAACCAAAAGGTCAGCAGTTCGAATCCACTAGCTGCTACTTGGAAATCCCATGGGTCAGTTCTACTCTATCTTATAGGGTCGCAATGAGACGGAATCGACTCAATGGGCAACAGGTTTGGTTTTGGTTTTCTTAAACAGTGATGCTTCCTAAATGTTTGTTCTCTAATGGTAAGGAAATCACCCTCAGAATTGACCTGCTTCCATTAAGCAGGTTCCAAATAGTCCAAGTCCCTAAACAAGTTTTCAAGAGCGTCAAGGCACTTTTATACACACTATTTCTGAAATTGGTTTTTAAAAAAAAAGAGAGAGACATTGTTAAAGTTCATTGGGCAAAATGTCATTTGTCTTTCGGGGAGTATGCTTTGCATGGCTGTGGTCAGACACTTCGATAGCACAGTTTTTCAGGTTAATTGTAAGCAAGTTTGGATGCACTAACTTCTTTAAAGGTATGAAACGGATCTTAATCAATTGGAATCAATTCTAATTGGCTTTTTGAAGAAACAAAATGCCTGGGATTTCCTTAGTAATACATCTAGATACAAGGTGTATCCAACGTACATTTTCTTCAGTTTTGATAACATTACTGTGATCCTGCTCTTGTAGAAATTCAAAGAATGAGTTAATGCGAGCTTTCTACAAGTGAATTCTGCATTTCACTCACAAGGAAATAAACAGCCAAAGTTACACAAATGTATTACTAAAGTACTTTATATCTACAAATTACTTTATACGTCTTGGTTCATCAGATTAAACTACAATCAGAGCCACTCATTTATAAACGGAGAGTTGATCAGCTTTTAACTTCCGATCACAAGTTTATGTCCCGACAGAAGCTATCAGTAAAGTCATGCATTAAGCCTGTGATAGGCTAGGCTCTGATTCTGGCCCCGCCACCGTGAGGGGTGTCACCCTTACGTACCTGGATGCCTCCAGCGAATCCACAAGACTGGTTTTACCTGATCAAGGATACTATTGTCCCAAAATAAACACGTAACCTAAAACAATAGAATAAAAGTATTTTCAGAGCCAGAGATTAAGAAATTAGATTCCCAGCTGGAGGTCGTTTCAAATGCACACTTTCTTTATTCCACTTGGAGAGTGTAATAGTTTAGTATTTTTTAGGGTGCCTTGTCCACCCTAAAGGTTTCCACTTCCTTCAGGACATTCCCAGAGCGTCAGTAAACCGAGGGGCCAGAATTGGGGACAAAAGAGTTGGGAGAGAGGGGACAGGGTGACTCTCCGGTTAGTGGGGAATCTGCGTGGCGAGGGACGAGCCACCTCCGTCTCTTCCCGGCTCCAGGGCCTCGGAGCCGCGCGCCCGGGCGGGGAAACCGCGCCAGCCCTCTCCGGCTTTGGCCTCCTGACCCAGACAGCGCGGACGCGAGGAACGGGCGGCGGAGCCTGGGTCGCGCCGCCCCCACCCTCGGGAGCCGCCCGCCAGGAGTTCGAGGCCTCTGCGATCCGGATGTGATGAAAAGGAGCAACAGAGGGCGAAGTGTTGCAGAAGTGTACGAGTGGTGGAAGGGACAAGACAGGCCGAGGGGGAAAGTCCTCTTTGGAGGGCACTGGCCGGAGGGAGCCGGCTGGGGTGAGGGGCGGAGTGCGCGGAGCCAAACGAGCAGCTGCTGCCGCTTTTGCCGCCACTGCGGCGTCTGAGCTGCGCCAGACGGAGGCGAAGCAGGAGGGCGCGCGCGGGGCGGCCCCGCCAGGCCACCGGGGCGAGGTGGCGCGGCTGCCAGAGCCTCGCTAACTTTCTGGGCTGAAGAGGAGGAGGAGGAAGGGGCTCGGAGCGAGGTGGGGGATGCCGAGGTAGGTGGTGGTCGCTCTGCTGGAGAAGGAGGGGCTGGGGTCCCCTCCCCCACGCTTCTCCAACCTCTCTTCCCAGCCCCCCGTCCCCCTCCACTTGGCTCCTCTGACCCGCAGGTCTGCGCCGCTGTCAACTTGCCGTCTAACAGTTTTCCTCCCCGGGTTCAAATCAAAACTTCTCCGGGTGGGGTTGGGGGAGGGACGCGGAGGGCGAGGGAATGTCCCGCATGGGTGGTGTGCTCTTCAATTAAAAACACTTTTTTTTTTCTGCCAGAAGCAGTCCGTTTCCTGCACCCAGCACCTCTTGGCCCTTCGTGCGTCCGCCCCGCGAGGCGGCCAGCTAGGCGGCGGCGCGGCGCGGGGCAGCGGCGGCCCATGTCCCGCGCAGTCGAAGCCCTC